CAAATGCATTCCGAATGGTCCCACTTGTACAGTTCGTGCCAGCTTACACCGAATTCGTGTGCTGAGAATTATTCGCGTCAATTATCACTCACGGGTGAGGCACGATTGCAAATTTTGCCTTCGGCATAGGCCGCACCAGGCGTTCAATGTCACTGTGTTTGAAATTTAAAATTTTGAACGAATGGTCGAAATATGACGAGTAGTTTGGTGTGCAGGTTATGTTACTATTTCTGAACTTGACTGAGGATTCGAAGTGGTATTCTGCCCGTTATGGATGTGCTGGAAGTCGTCGCAAGATTTGTGGTTGGAAATGTTAAAAACTGTTTCGTAATTCGGGTTCAACCCGGAAGGTCCAGTGCGTTCGGCAGTGATTTACATGGTATCAGTTCTAAAACTACCTCATGCTGTGCGCCTGAGCATTTGTGAGTTTGGGAAGGAAAGAACATAAGGGAAAACGTGAAATAATCAAGTCAATAAAGTTGTTTTTATTTTAAATTATACCGGCTAAATTAACTTTCATACTGTGTTTACTTCAATCGGCCTGGCCGTTGACCGTCTTTGATTTAGAGTTTTGCGTGTGTGTATATCACAATCAACTCGTGGACCCTAAACAAAAGAGGGCACTTAGGGTCCACGACTGACTGCATGTACGTCCTACAAAGCAAAATGTTGAGAGGTTTCACGAACGGTGCGAGGGATGAGGAACAGAAGAACTGGAGGGTCCACAATTGCAGGTGTTAAAAATACAAAGATGCGCGGTTTTTTTATTGAGAAATCTGGTACATTTCTGTGCCCAACGTCTGTTATCAAACCTATTTATCCAAATGATCAAACTTTCCACTGCTACCTCTTGTGCGGCTATAGGAATCGGTAGCAAATGGTGATCTCGGAAAGAGCCAGTGTGTGTTCTTTCAGAGACGAGAAATCTCACTCAGTTTCCTCTTCAAAATGAAGTAATTATCGATCGACGGCCGATAAAAGGAAGATGAGCATTGGTCAATATGCCTGGGACTGAGTTAAGGCCATTACATGTTTTTGAAAGGAAATTATCTGTCAGGCTAATTTGATTAGGAATACAAGAAATGTAATTGAAATAAATCACTGAACGATGTGGACCCTTTTTGCAGAAAGAAGAAACTGGGGAGTCACGCGTATATAACCGATTGTAAGAGGTCGGCACTTATATCTCTTGCTTTTTTCATTCATGCAAATTTGAAACTTTGAGTCAGAAGCGAATTGGAAACGTTTTATCGAAATAAAAAAAACATGTATGAAGGATAAGTGGTTAATGATAGGGCCTTTTTCTTTGAAATGGAATTAGTTTGTGAAAGAGAGTTTAATGTAGCATAATTAAAATATAAAATTTTAATATTTTGCAGTCTATTTACATGTGTCTGGGGAAAAGGAGAAAAGGAAACAAGTGAACCGCCCGAATTCACGATGTTGTTTGTCTTGTCCCGTATACGTGGCCTTTTCGGCGAAATTTCCTCTTGATTGAATGAGCAAATGATCAAACCAAGCACGATATTTTTTTTCTAGAAATTATCGTTCATTTTTCGTAAGACTGGCACGCCATGTGGACATACGCGTAACAGTTTGGTTCGCTTCAACAGTTTCCAAGTGGAACAAGTCAGACAATTTACAGACGTATATGGGCCGGTGTGCCATTATTTCCCGTATCAAGTGGGAAAGGATAATTCGTGTATCATACACCCATGAGGGTAATGAGAAGGGAGGCACCATTTTGGCAATTTGTGGGTTGCTTTCCTTGTTCCCTCCATACCAATCACTTAAAGGAAGTCGCCACTACGGAAATCTTCCTCTGTTGTGGAAGTCAAAGGATTTATTCAAGATTTTAGCCAGGGCTATAGTTTATTTGAATTTGTATATGGTTTTGATTATGATAACCTGACAGAGTTGATTGTGTATGGGCAAACTGTTTCGATTTCGGACCACTTTTCCTGTTACATGCGCAAGTGGGTCGCAAAAAAATATATATTAACATGTATATGTAAAACATAAACATTAAAATTAAATCGAAATTTAATTAAAAAGGTGGGGCGGTAGAAAATCCAAAAGTTATGCGGTGTTGACCAAGCATTCAGGCGCACGGACTCCTGAAATTCGCTACGAATCGCAGTTACCGGCTTCCATATAGGACTCTTCTGGGGTCTCGGGGTTCCCGGCCCACCACACTTCCTCCCTGCCCATCCATTTAACCCTAAAAAGGATTCGAGCGACCATGCAAGGGAGGAAACGAGACAGGCCCCTAAGCCTTGGCCGCCGAGTCGGCCATACGTCTCAAACCTGTACTAAGGCGCTCACGTGGACTTCGCGGACAGTCCCAGCAGAAGAGCTTACCCGGTTGGCTAAGGTACTGTTGGTATTTTAGGACGGCAAATTAAATCATTTATAAATTCGCACTTATGGCAAAGAGTCCGTTAAAAGAACCAAAAATAATCCGCCCGGGATTCGAACCCACCAACAAGTCATCTTGCAGCAGAGTCTACTGACGGTGAGCTTAACCACAAGGCCATTTATGCTGACACCGCGCAGTTTCCGTTAAAAGCATTATGTATAATTCCTAGCAAATCGCGTCCGCGCTGCTACTTCAAATACAATGGAGTCAAAGCAGCATTAGGTTGGCTTATTTAAAGGATTCCCTGATAAAGCCGTATTTACACGGACAATTGGTATTGAAATATTCCCCATTCAACGGTACTTTCTCTACACGTTGTTTTTCAGAAAGTGACAGATTTGCTCTATGTATTCTCCTAACAAAGATAGATGCCTTTACCCTCAGTCCGTCACCGTTTCACGAAGAGCCACACTTTCGAAAATGGTATTTGTTTTTTCGATTTCGATGTTGTCACTATCTTGTTCTAAAACATCGTAGTTAACCTTTGTGACATGTTTCTTCAAGCCAAATATAATTAACGTCAAAATGTTAGGGGTCAAAATCTCGACAACAGCATTTTGCGTGTTCACGAAGAGATATAAATCGGACGCCCCCTCGAACACGTGCAAAACCTATGGACTGGAAAGGCTGAAAAGTAGGTCAACTGAGGTTTTCATTTTCGCGAAGAGGCACACATCTTTGTTTTACACTCACAACGGGGCGCACGCAACGTACGTGTGTACCCCTTCACTATGGAAAAAATACATTGAACAGAAGGGCCAAAATGTGGGAAAACGTGAATTTTCGATTTCACGAACGGACGCGTATCTTCACTACAAAAAAATTGTAATTGATTCGGCTTATTTTTAATTACTTGGTTTATCTCTTAAAGAATCATTTGGGGATTTTTCATTGCATAAACTTGTTCCATGATAGTATATTAATTTGCAGTTTTGAAATAGGAGAAACTTCTCGAAACCATTTTTTTCTTCAAACTCTACTCGTGGCTTTTCTTGAAAACGGTGACGACTTTACTCGAGTGATTGGGATTTTGTCCATCATCTCGGCACCGGTTCTGTTTTGTCTTGTTTTGTTCTATCAAATTCGGGAACTAGTACTTTGCAATAATTTGTATTTAGCACCATTAAAGAATTTAAAATTAAAGAAAAACGGGAAAGTGTCACCACTCCATCCACCCAAGTTTACCACTTCCATCTGATCTATCTGCCCGCCTCCATGCTACAACATAATTACCTACCTCTGACTCTGGCTGATAACATACAGAGAACGACGAGGAACGTGGCCCGTAACTCCATGATGCACAGGCGTGGCTAGAAAACCTTCTAATGAGCCGCGCGATTCGATAACGAGCTTTATCAAGACCGAAAGCCTCAACCACGACATGCCGCACAGACCCCATTACCGCACCTATAACCGCTGCCCCAACCTTTCCAATGACGTCAAGAGGCTCGCTTTCCGGATGGATTTTTTCCTTCGTGTACGAGGCTTCGCCAAGATTCTGCGTGGAGAAATTTTGATCAGGAATGAACCTCCAGTGCTCGCTTGATGGTTATTTGTTCTTTACGATGTAACTTTAAAGTTGGCAAAAAGGGAATGCCGTGCTATATTTTTCTACGTGAAAAAATCTAACATTTTCCTTCGCACAAGAAAGGGCAAATACACACAAAAAAACAAACAAACAAACAAAACAAAACAAAACAAAAAACTTCCGAGAACAAACCAAAAACGAAAGTAAAACAAAATCCTTGAAGGCCTTTTTTCGTAACATTATTGGCTGCATGCACGAAGAATTCACACTATCTTTTTGAACGGACGGAGTCAAAACTCCATAGAGAGTTCGAGATGTTTTCATTTTCTTGCCCCATCTGCACGGGGTCATAATTTATCTCTGAATATTGATAACGTGGGCAATTACTTTCGTATTCAGGAAATGAACGCCCTAAATCACCAGGGTCCACACAGCTGAACGTGCAGAACGGTGCCCGTCTTTCCCCAAGAGGGAAGGAATTCTGAGAGGGTGGGCCAAACCAAACAGCGCACGCGGACCGGACGAGCTTTTGTGGAATCTTCAGGGATCAGAACTCCGAGGGCTTTATAAGCGAAGACAAACAAACCTTGGCCTAATGACAACTGCACGTCAACAAACAATTTGCGGATCTTCAGTTCGCTAAAATGGCGCAACGTGTTATTTCAACGGACAGTTGGTACAAAATTACCTGAGCTACGCGTGAAGGGTATTTTGGGGTGAAACTTTCCAGGCAAAAGCTGCCCAAGAGAGGCAGGTAGCTGTTATTTTGACCCAACGCTGAGCAAACTATGGGTATGAACAAATTTATCGTGCAGGCTTTTTCAACGCCCCCCCGGAAAAAAATTAGATTTGGAAATTGCGTGATGTGCTTTCAATGACCGAGTCAACCGTTCGAACGTTGACTGACAAAAGACAAATCTTCCGGTAAAAAAAAAACCAACTGGTATCAAATGAAAATTTAGTTCTTCGCCATAATCGGTCATAAAGCTATGAACTAGTTGATCGTCATTCGGCATCTCTCTTCAGGAACTGAATGATCAAGAGCACGACACCTTTCATTCCACAACAAACTTCACACTTTACCACTTTTAATGCAGACACATTTTGTGAATAATCTATGAAACATGTATACACCTTATGTAAAGACATTAGAAATAAAATATGTACAGTATAAGGTCAAGTGGCACATGAGTAATGCCCCCCCCAAAAAAACCAAGTTAAGGAGACATACGGATGCCTCCTCTTTAATGAAACACTCAAAACATTCAAGGTGGTAAACTCTCTCAATTTCAAAGACCTACTATTGACGCAAGTAGTGTCATTAAGGTTAGGCTCTCTAGACTATTTGCTGAGTTTGATAACACTTCTTCCACGTTGTGGTTACAAGATGTAAATGGTAATTGTAAATGCAACCAACACATATATCTGAAAAGTTTGACGGCAAAATATTTCCTGTGTCCTACATAGCTACCCCCATTTGCGAATGCATAAAGCTTACGAAGGTAAGCCAAAATGATTGCCACCCCAGCTCATCACAAATGTTTTATTAAGAAACAAAATCAACTCCCTGGGGAATTCTACATGTCATGTTGGATGGACACACAACACAGATGCAGCAGCTAGACAATTACAAGCCCGGTATGGACAGCTTGCATCTAAAAGGCTCTTGGGAACGGGGGAACAAAATGTGAATAAAGGAATCTGAAACATCTAGCGGCCATCTTTGCTTGAATGGAGACTTGAATGGGGACTTGTGACTGATGACTCGGATTTGTGTACATGAACAAGCACTTGCGTATGTTTCAACAAAGACGCCTGCTCTAGGTTATGGCAAACAGGCAAAAGATGGCAATCTCTACTGGTGACTTAACATAACTTCACAGTGGCTTGAGTGAGAGTCTAAATGACTGAATTCCCCCCCCCCCCACCATTCCTATGCCATGAGAATTATTGGATCACGCGCTAAGCTTGCCCCACTGCCCTTAAGGGTGCTGGTGACAGCCGATGACTTTCATAAAAACTTCTCATAAGTGTGCTCAGCCATGAGCAAAGTAATGAGGCCTTAATCAATGCACACAGAGTCTGTGTGCAAGTGCCATGTGCTCGCACCACCAAAAAAAACATGACTCTCTCCAAGGTGAAGAAAATTACTCTCCAGTGACGACTGGAAAGAAAACAACCTGGTTTGTTGAGATGAAATCAGGCTTAAGTGATGTCCTCTGCCGGGTGTTGGACATGAGCATAATCACAGGCGGGTGTCAGAGTGATTTCAGCAGGCTTTGGGTTGAATTCCGGGGGACCAACTTTTCAATATTCCGTTGCTCCACCACCTCTCTCCCCCCTTTTTTGAATGTGAACTTTGACTCCCAACGAATTCCAGAGTGTAGCCCACTACGACCAAGACTACGTGAGCATCACAAGTAGACATTTCTTTGCCATACACTGGATTTTTGTTGATGGTTTCCTGGACTCTTTATCTTCCTTTTGCTATGCTAACCCTAAGCCCAAAAGGCCTCTGAATCTGTTTTTCATAGAGCAGAGAAATGATGTGTGGACTTGGACCAGTCTACACAAAGTCTTCACTGCCTGCGTTGTGTGGACATCTTTTGCTTCCATGTCCACACAAGGAATACGCATGTTTGTGCATCCCAGCGTCTTTACGGCATGCCTTGACTGGCCAGTCCTCTTTGGGACTGTCGTTCTCAGTACTACGGTGGAGAAGCTTCGGGGGTCAGATTTAGAGGATGGAGAAGTGTTTCTTGAGCTGTTCCAGGAGCTCCTTAGAGTCGCAGTGATCGGGGTAAGCCTCGATGGCCTTCTTGGTGGCATTGTAGCTACTCTGCAAGTCCCCAACCTGACGACAAGAACATACAGGAAATTCAGATCTAAAATAAGACAGTGATGGGTTGAGAGAAACTAACTTTGGATCAATTTTCTTCCACTTCGTCTGGAAAAAGCACATGTAAAATATGATGACTGCTGAAGTTCGTGCCACTTCCCATATTTTCAGTCTACAAAATGGGCTCCTTTCAGAAGTACACTGCAAAGAAACCCACTCCAGTATCTGACAGATTTTCCAAAGTCGCATCAAAGACATTGTTTCTTGTACATTTTCTGTTAACAAAATTATGAGTGAGATTACTTTATGATGACGTAGATGTCTACAGTAAGTAAGAAAAGAGAAAAAGAACAACTCTGATTACTTAAATCAAGGAATTAGGTTTTGTTTTGATTAGGGGAGATTGTGAAGTTTGTGAACTTACCTGATCTGAGAGGGTAGCAAAGTTGTAATGTGGCTCAAACATGTGTGGTGCTAACGACTCTGCCGCCTGGAAAAATGCTCGTGCCTGAAAAGAAAAACATGCCGTATGATGAAGTGGCCTGCATACTCATTTCAAATCTGTTAATGGAGAGTGTGAAGCTGTGACTCGTGACCAGCAGGTCAGAGGTCCAAATCCAGCTGCTGTTAACCACTTCCTGCCGGGTGACCCGTTTTTGAGTACATAGGCTTTATATGCAGAGCCGGCGAGCGGAACTGGGACAAAAGAGTTGGGCCTTATAACAAAAGACTGTGTTCAGCACAAAAGACTGAGCTGCTGGGCATTACAGACATTTTTTCGCTCTCAATAGTGGAGATAATCCAGCTTTGTTATGAAATAGTATACCACGGTTTGAGGCATTTAGAGGGAGCCGATTACCACCGGGGACAAAAGCTCTCCACCTCTGCAGCGATGAGCCACACAGCACCGCTGCACGCTAATCTGGCCCCTATTGAAAAGAGGTCAGCAGTGCACTGTGCTGGTTTCGGGAACAGAAGAATCTTACGTAACACTACACAATCTGGGCTCTTTTTCCACGGCTGCAGGCCAGGCTGAAATATTCAAAAGTTAATGAAGGTAACTGTCAGCTTTAGAGTAATGCCCGAAGAGTCCTTCATGTGGGTATAAACGGCCATTAAAGAAAATGATGAATTTTGGAAGAATTTTGAAAACAGAAAATCTTAAAAACGACCCGGCATCTTGTCTTGCTCAAGAAAAATCCACCCAGCAGCAAGTGGTTAATATGTTGTGTGAACCTGTGACTCGTGACCGGCAGGTCAGAGGTCCAAATCCAGCTGCTGTTGATATGTTGTGTGAACCTGTGACTCGTAACCAGCAGGTCAGAGGTCCAAATCCAGCTGCTGTTGATATGTTGTGTCCACAGGGAGGCCATTTTACCTCTCCTGTCTCTCTCTTCGTCAAGAACCCTTTTACAATGGCTGCAAGGGTGCATCCTACATTTGCCTAGCATCCCATCCAGAGTGAACAGAAATATTTTCAACTATTTCATGCTGACGAATCCTTGGACAAACACATGTCTGATGAGTAATGTTCGCCTCAGACACTCTGTACTTCCAAAACTAACCTACTAACTACTAACCCCAAACTATTTCAAAATTGGTGGTTTAACCAAAATGGCTGGACACCTAGATAAAACTAGCTGAAGCAAGCAGGCATGTCCATAAAAAAAATCCCTGTGACTAGTTGCACTTTCAAGTAGCAGGGGATTAACATGTTCACACTCTCACTTGATTGGCACGATAAAGTCTTGAGCTAAGTTTTGCAGCACTGCCAAAACAGAACCCAAAGCGAGAAGGTGGAAAGAAGGTATCTGACCTGATCTAGATGACCCTTCCTAAGCTCTAAGACGCCCAGGTTATTGTAGGCCTCAGCATGGTCGTTGTTAGATACCAAAGCCAGCCGGAAACTCTGAAGGGCCAGGCCGGTGTCCCCAATTCCCTAAAAACAAAGAGGGGAATTGTGGGAAAAATAGAAGCGAATTCAAACACTGCGCACCATTGGCAGGCTACCACAGACACGTCATCATACAAGTATTCCGGAAAAACTTGGCGTCCGCATGCCAAGTGGTATTCCTGTTGCACAGACTAGGCAGCGTTTACATTTTTGACAAGCATGATTTACGTTCAAACTTTCTTTACTGCACATGTTTTTTGTTCAATTCCCAGTGGCCTGAATACAACCCCAAGCTATTACTTCAAAGGCAGCGCAGCTGCATGGGGCCAACTGATTATCATTCAGTGAGAGAACGAGCTGTTGAAACCCCCCTCAGTTGGCCAGGGTAAAATGAGGTTGCCTCCCGCTTCCCACTGAAGCCTCTTCTAGAGCTTACCACGGCAACCTGTCCTATGTTGTACCAAATGTCGGCCGTCACTAGGTCGTTGTTGGACAGTGACAGGGCACGCTCAAACGTGCTCAGTGTCATGTCGTACTGCTGGGCGTAGAAGCAGCACAAGCCCAGGTTGTTGAACAACTCCGCATTGTACACGCCCATCTGCAGTAGACGCCTGCAGACGAAAGTGATTCAAGGAAATAAGTTTGGGTAGAACTCCCCGAGGCAAGGGTTAATCCAGTAATTGCTCAGTTCACAACCAAACGTTCGGCTTTGTATATTTTGACTGTTGATTCTTTGGACACTCGCGATAACTTTTAAGTACTCCTTACCGGCAAGGAGTCAGGCTGGGACAGATTTTAATTTAGCACCGAGTGCACAAGGGCCACGAGCTGGACCAAGAGAGGGCGCAATTTTCCCAGCAACGTAGGCTCCTTTGGTTGGAACTGCACTTCACTGGATCACAAACGACTAAGAAATGCAAGCGTTATGGACGCGTCGCTACCAGCAAAATGAACACTCCTGACCAACATGGCTCTTTTCAACCAAGTGAGAGGGACGCTTCTGCTCAAGGCAGATTAAAGACCAAACTTTTCCACAGAAATCAGTCAAGCACGCTCAGCATATCCCACATGCCAAACTTGCATGAACTTGTGCAAGCCACCAAAGGCCCGTCATTCCATCTCTTGTTCCAGCGGATTATTCAGGGCCACATACCTGTAGTAACGCAGTGCTATCTCTGGTTGGTCCGTGTAGAAGTGGTGGTTAGCAATGCAGGCTATGGCCTCTACGTGGGTGTTGTCGTGTTGTAAGACCAGCTTATAGAACTTGACGGCATTGGTCATGTCATTCAGGCCCTGAAATGTAAATGATTGTTATGACAGAATGTAAGTTTTCAGTCAAGTGTGATACACACAAGGATTTGAGGCACATTTTCATAAACATGCTTTCAGTGCCCCTCACCCCATCAATTTGAAACTGTAGTGGAGTGAGATGCAGCAAAGAGATTCGGATACGGAGCAGACCAAACAACTTACATGTGGAAAGGTGGCCAAACTTCCAGTACTCTGGCATTGAACATTACAACAGTGTTTAAAGATTAGGAGAGACTAAAAAGCAACAGTTGAAACAACTTGCTGTAGATTGCTTGCTAGCTACACGGTGACCTAAAATACGAATGCAGAAAGTTTCAGAGGGCCTGATTTTTCAACCCCAGGGGGATTTTATCAAAGGCAATCAAAGATAAAAAAAACTTTGCCTTTGAAAATGACTTAAGCTAGGATCCAAAACTCAAGCCCTCTAACCTTTTCAAAAAAAGTCAACTGTGTTAAAGGACAAGTGTTCTAGAAATTATCTTCGCAAGGTCTTGGTGAAACACTTCAACTTGAATTTCCAAAAAGGCTGCATCACTAATTTCCACAATGTAATTTTTCTCATAAATTTTGTCTTCACAAATTGAAGTAACTGATAAAAAATATGGCTCCCAGGAAGGTCTGAACTGCAAGAATCAAACTTAATACTGACATCATTATATATACCTCCCATTTGCCCTAGCGTGACATATGAAAAGACCATTAACACTTCATAGCCTGACCTCGTATATCCTAGCTATGCCCGTTAGGAGAGTCGTCTCCCCTGGGTGCTTCTCCAGTCCGTGCTTGAAGATTTCGATGGCGGTCAGCGGCTGGTCCAGACGCACGTAGACCTTGCAAAGGTACAGGTAGGTGTCTACCATCTCCTGCTGCTTCAGGGCCGATTTGAACTGCCGCTCTGCGTCGCGGTACAGTCCTAGCCTGCAAATGGAAGGAGTCTGTCTGGATGAGGGCAGGGCTTCATCTGTTCGGCCTACCTTCCATGTGGTCGCAACAGTAAGCAAGATAAAGATGCAAACAGATGGCTTGCAATGCCATTCTGCCCAAAATTTGATACATAATTCCGTCTGAATTCCAAAAATGTTCACATGAAATACAGTTTTAGGTCACGGTGGTAATAACCCTTCTTGAAACTAAAGTGGCACTTCAATTTGATGCATTTTACTTAGTGGCCAGCTATTCTGTTGACAATTGAGGTTTCATTTTTCAATCTTAAGGAGAAAAATGGCCCAAATACATTATACTCAAGTAAGAGAGATATCATTGTATGCCTTTGTATGGGGCTACTCCAGCAAACAAAGCAATTTGCTAAGCACAGATATTTGCTTATCAATGAACAAATAATGTAAGTTTATGAGTGTAATGGGAAGAATCATTTCTCGAGGTGACGGACTGAAAGTTCTACTCCATCAGATGAAGCCAAGGACAAAAGACCTTTAGAACTGTCATCAGACGAAACTGTTCTTCGATTGCACAAATGTGAGACATCCGTGATTTGTTTTATACAAACTTAAATAAATCATTTGTAAACTTTGTGCACAAGTCTCTGTGTTACTTGGTCAGTCCGAAGTAGAAACGCAACGCAAAGTTCATGCAAAAACAGACAATCCAGCGTATCTTTCTATCATTTGATAACCTACTCAGTTTGTTTCTATTACAGAAGCATCTGACAGAAGATAAAATGTTATCAGTGTTTCACAAATACTGGTACTGCCCCAAAAATTGTGTGTTTGTGTGCAGAACTCAAATGCGCCGACCAACTGCACGCACGCTGTTCAACTTTCTTTCTGTGCATGGAGAGAAGCGAGTGTGCATGCTGCACATTGGCACAGTACGCCAGGATAACCAACGGGCATAACCCATGGTCCCTCCGCTGATGATACCAAATGATTCATGACACGTGATCGGTGACCCGTCAATCAGATAACAGGGATTTATTTAGGTTCTGTACAAAAAGCAGGTACCCTGCCAACATGGCACGGAATGCATGTTATCTGTCCCATCACGTACAATCACCATCACTGGTTGTTGCAGATGTGGGAATGGTTCTCAAGCCAACAATGTTTGCTTGAAACCTCCATATGCTGAGCTACAGGCTGTGTCCGAATTGCTTGGCTGCGGCTTGATATTATGCATGTGTCTATGGTATTGACTGTAGCCACTTCCCATAGAGTCAAGTGCAATATTAAGCCACAGCCAAGTAATTCAGACGCACTAATATTTTCAGCTTTGTGGATCTACACATTTGGTTCCTTACCTGTAGTAGCATTTCCCCAGCTGAACTTTCCACCACCAGTCTTTGAAGCCACATGCCTCCGTGGCTAGAGCTGCCAGCTCCAGAGCGTTGCGGACGTCGTTCTCGTGATGGAAGATGTACTCGAACAGGGGCTGGTGGTGAAAAGTTACAGTAAGTGTGATCTGCTGGTCTTTGGCATGGTAATATATTTATAGTGTCCCCTTGAAGTATTGGTCTGTGCCTTAAAAGTAACTGAGTTATAACCCACACCTTCACTGCATGAGAACTCTATGCACATACCCTGATTGATGACAGGATTGTTCATGTCAGGACGCCAAAAACTTGTGCACAATTAGCTGACAATGTCCCCAGTTCATGTATTCTGTTTTGCAGACACCAAGTGCATATGCATTGGGAAGCACATCAGGACTACACCATTCAGCAGTACACCGTCCATGCTGTCTCATAATTACGTGGCATTATGATTGTGTTCATGGTGGTATCGCTTGGATGCTTGGGACAGTCCGTGATGGAAGTCATGCAGAAAATTATCTTTGCCCTAAGTGTGAAATGACTCAGAAGTCGGCAGACCTGCTTTTGATATATGCCAATGCATCAAGCTTGCAATTTTGAATTCAATAGAAATTATTGACTTTTTCACCCAGGCAAAGTCCGCATTTAATCAGGATGTCAAACCGAGACATCACAAAGGGCCTTCTACTGCTCGGATGTCCATGAAAAATGCATCAACGATGACAAATGCCCACAAGACTCATTCTGCAGTATCCAGCTTTTTCAAATGTTTGTTCATGCTTCCGCTGGTGGGAAATGGACTTAGCTCAGGATGGTGAGCCTACTATGCACTGACCTTGGCCAGGTTGGGTCTGGCTGCGTACTTGCTGAAGTTCAGCCTTGCCAGGTTAATGAAGGGACCGTCAGGGGTGGAAAGCATGGAGGCCTGGGCAGTCAGAGAGGAATATTGAAACAGTTTGTGTCTCAAACTCACAAAATGAGTCTCAATCCCCCAAAAGAGACTGTTGAGATAATAGCCTAGTCTCTAAGATAAAGATCTTGCACAGTGCAAATCATACACAACCGTCAATTTCTTTCACCCACTTAATGTCCATACTCATCAGGATGCCAAACTGAGCAACACATGGAAACAAAGAGCTCAGTTTCCTCTGTCTCATGCAAACGACGGCAAAATTACAGAAAACAATGGCATGGCGGCTCATTTCCAGGACACAGTCAAATTAACCTTTTGAAGGATAAGCAAGATGCACTCTGCTAAAACTCCGTCACATTGTTCTGTCCAGCGCTTTCTGGATACCAAGATAAGTGGACAGAGTGTCAAGCAGTTGGATGTTTTACGGAGCAGTGCAATAATGCTTCAAGCCTGGTTCCAAATGGTCAATTGGACTTATCAAAGCATCTATCCTTTGAGGTTGAACTGTGGTCTTAAACTTAATCTGTCATTTGAACTTGCCCCAAGTGTCCAATCTACCAAAATTAGGAGCCTAAGGATAAAGAGGGGAAGGGAGACTTTGTGTACACCTGTTGTACAGGGTGAGGGGAGTTCAAAACAATGTGTGGGTATGCGGAGTGCTTATTTTCCTTTTAATAACTACCATAAAATTAATGTACTTTTTCACATTTTATACACCTAACAGGATCAGCTGTGACATATGTACAAGTATGTTAAAAATCACAGTAACTCACTTCCATTGTTATATCTTACCAGTCACAGACAAACACGTAACACGTACATGTACACAGGGCTGGGAATACAGTTGGAACCCTGCGCTAACCTTACATACCTAGCGTGGACTTGTGAACAAAAGATGTCCACGTAATGAAGGAAGGGAAGACGTTCTGTGGACTTATCCATGTCCACAGGACGTTCCCCTTCATTGGAAGAGAAGTTTAGAGGCATTTGAGGGTCAGGGTTATCTGATGTAAAAGGAAGAGGAACAGTCAAGGAATCCTTCTACAAAAATCCGGTTGAAAATCCTGTTCCCAGTTCAAGAAAAATGACTATTATCACTGAGTTTATTTAACTGCATGAAAAGAGAAGAATTTCCACACTAGGTGTGCAACGTAAGTAGGAATGTGTATGCTGTGTGTGAAAGAGGGGAGGTTCTAAGAAGTAAGTCACCATTTTGACGTACAGACTTGTTCTTTACACTCAAACACATGGTTCCATCTGAACTTACAGTTCCCAGCCTGACATATCTGCCCGAAGCGCTGGTGACAGGCCGGGCGGTGTGAGCTGTCCGAGGGGTGCGAATGGCTTGTTCCATGGTCCCCGGCCGACCAGACTGGGTGCCCGGCCGGACGAAGCCGCTCAGGGGCCGGCCAGACTGGGAGAGGGGGCGTACCCCGGCGCTGGGGGCTCCCTGACCCGTACCTGGTTTCTTCAGAGAGGTGCCCGGCCCTGTGGGTGATCAGACATTCAGAAATTAAACACAAGTTAGCGAAATGAGAGACTACGGTGTATTAACCCTAACAGTCCCAAATCCTCCAATTTCAATACGATTTTACATACACCCTTGGGGTTAGGGTTAAAGAAAGAAACACAGGACACAGAAGTACACATGAACACATCCGAAAAAGTAACCATTTTTTTTCATGAGGCCCTACACTATATTCTTACAATCCTACAGAAAAAAATCTACTACACCTTAACTGGTCTTTCCTTCCACACATTCTAATATCTCACGCTACAATACCACCAATATTAATGACGCAGTACGTAATTGCTGAGAGAGACGCATGCTAACTAGTCTAGATGATTCCCTATTATCTGCGAGGCTCATGACCTTTGGATGGAATTTTAAGGTACAACTTCCTTAAACTGGATAAATCATTGGTTAGGACCCGAGGAAAATCCATTTCTGAAGTACAGCAAAAAATATGCGATAGCCTTTGCTTAAAGATCTGCAGAGGATTAAGAACATAGATTGCGTAATGTGTACGAATGGCACAAAACAAGCATGCAGGATGCTCACACTGCAGACGAACGCACGGGAACTGCGGAGATCATTCATTTTTATGGTAGGTCCGTTCAAAAGTCGGTTTCTCTTCCTGAAGGACTTACGTGTGACTTGGGCAATGGTGTTGTCGTCCATCAGCATCTCGGCAATGCCTTCTTCATCTACCTCAACCTCGTCAACATACACCTGCTCCGTCAAGGCTCTCATCTTCAATGACCATGCTGCCTGCGGTCCAACCAACATGGTTAAAATAGGGTGAAATTCAAGGGCTGGAAGGTACCTACCGGTAGGGGTGCACGTCTTTTGGGGGAATGGTACCGAAAGCCAATGACTTAAACTTGTACATGGGCCATGTACATTTTGTAAACCTAATCAGTCAACCTCATTTTGTCGGATCCAGTCATAATTGCTATTGATCGTTACTAAGGGAATAAATGTATGCTTGGCCGGTCTTAAACCCGTGTTTAAAACCAGCTCAGAAGAATGGACGTGACTAATGCCCAAGCCACAAGCGTGGCCATTATCAGTATCCAGTCTCCTAAGACCACCAGCCAAGCACATATTTATTCCATTCATAAATACCTTTTTAGTCAGAGAGTCAAAAGAAGTCAATATATGATGGATTTCCACTGATTCTGTTCTACAATTTTACTTTCATTTTCTCAAATACCCCATTCATTTTATGGTATATTCCTTGTGCAAATTGTCCAAAAGCATAGATCTCCTTATATGGATTTGGCGCGCACGTGACAAGCCACATGCACACAGATTCTTGACCAATCAGAATCGATAAAACTGTCTCGTATCTAGGTGCCAGCGGGCATTGTCACTCAGTTATGAAATTTAACAGTCAAGTTGCACGTTGCTGAACAGGGAGACTGTCTGAGGTATTCATGAATACGTTTTACCATGCGCCAACGAACCTGGTCGTAGGGATTCTTCTCCAGCAACTGGGTGCAAATGTTGATGCAATCTTCAAATTTCCTCCGACGAAACAGGCTGTAGGCCATGTACATGGGGTCCATGCTGATGACGAGTTGGCAGTCCTTTTCACATGTAGATCGCTGGGAGATGAAAATGGGTCCTCACCAATGGTCAACTGTGCTGTAACTGTGACCAAGCCACTAAACAATCATTCATGTGCATGGGACATGGAATTGATGAATGTCATCTGGGAATGAAAAGGCAGTAACTTTTTTCTGTACCCCATATTCGCCATTGGGCAAGAATCGAACCACTTATCATTGGCTCAAACAGGACACGTCTCTTTCCCTCTGTGATTATAGGCATGAGTAGAAACTTATCACAGGCATTGTGAGGGGAAGAGACAAGGGAGCATTTGTCGCCCACCTCACAAAAATTTAAAAAGAAAGGGGAAAAAGAATGAAAAAAACAAGCAAACAAGTCAGAGTAGCAAAGGATGGCAGGGAAGAAAAATCATTGATTGGTGGAGTTGTGCCTTGATAGCATTGACCAACTTCAGTGCAATTCGACCAATTGTAATAAAACTTCCATTTGTAGGGGGAAGGAAAATAAACAGAGACACAGGTAGGAGCCACGCTGTGATTGGTCAAGCTACCGGTATCTTACAACTGACAACGATGACTTTCAACTGACATGACTGACCATTTACTGTGAGTCTTCAATTGTGGGTAGGCAAATATCAAGTAAATTTCATAGTTTTAACTACATGTACCTAAAAGATAAGCGAAATGGTAAGAGTTCCATTATGAACATCACTGATTTCTCTGTGCACTGTTTATTAGCCAGCAAATAGTGATAACATCCAAGAGAGTCAAATTAGCAGCAAAAGTACTAACCTTATCACACGTGTACATGTACATTGTGTGGAAAACTTTTTCTTCTTGTTTTCCTGTCACCCACAGATGAAAGCCGCACTGAGATTGGCCAAATTTGTTTCCATTCCAATGACCAATCATAGCTGGCTTTCATTTTGATGGTGGACAAGAAAACAAAATGGAACAGATAGGAGCTGTGTTGCGATTGGTTAAGCTGTTACACAACTGACAGTTATTGAGAGTGCTTGTTGCTGATTTTCTGTAGTGTGGATGGGCAAAATACTCATGAATTTCACCATTTTAATAAGGATATCAAGTGCATAAATTTCACACATCTTACTTCAAAAAGAAGGCGTGTATGAAATTTTGTTGCCTAGTAGCTGTAAAAGTGTAATGGTAGAGGACGTTGGCACAATCAAAACAGCCAAAAAGTGTTTAAATGGTTTATGGGAGTTGATACATGGCTATCTGTAAGATTTGTAAGGAGGGCCTGCGTGGAGCGCCCTCACAGACTGACAAAGGACAGGTTTTTGTTCCAGTATGCTTGAGAGTACTTCATTGTCATGTAAATCTAAATAACGAAACATGTCCTTTGTGAGGATGCTCCACGCACGCCCTCTATAAACATGGTCATGGAGACATGGGAGATGGGATTGTAGGAAAAGAACCGTACAGTTCAGGAAGTATTTCTTCCCCCCCCTGCCCTACCCCCGAACTGTGGGGTCGGACGTCTGCTCCGCTCCCACGGACCCCACAGTTCTGGGGTACCCCCACCCCGGAATGCCAAGCCAACGTCAAATTATATCCAAAAACCACCTGTGAAATCTTAGGACATAAACATGATAATCATTCGTGAAATTGTAAGGCTGTGCTTGTGCCCATGTGGTAAAAACGCTGCTCTTTAGGTAGGCCTGTTACGCCCCAACTATAGTATCAGTCCCAACTAGAGTGCCACATTTGGGCCGGCCCAACTACAGCGCCTGTGTGCACGCAAAGTCATATTGTTTACAAATGTCATGTCATTGGTCATAGGGCTAAATGAACAGATGAAGTGCCACATTTTGGATGAATTTTGTCAAGTGCGAGACACATTGTCTTGGATTATGTTGAGACATTTCCTACAGACATGGGTCAACAATAGTTGGGCCGGGTCAACAATATTTGGGACTTATGCTTTACTTGCAGGTGGCGTAAGAGCTGAACAGGCCTAACTTAGGTCGAGCTTGCAGGTTAACGATTGCTTATTTTAATATATTGCTGCGTTTCAGATGGCATGAGCTCCTTGCTTTATTTAATACAACTTACCTACGCGAATTTGTTAAATCATGACGATGTTGCGACAAGTAACCTTAACAACCGTAACGCTAACAATTTGTTCAGGTGAGGCTGCAGCGATGGCGATTTGCACAAGAAGAATTCGGCTTCAATAAAGGGCGCCCTCAATAGGTCACTGAGCCGAAAACTTCACCATCATGGCAATTTTTCCATCAATACAATGCGCGACAAAAAAACTTTGCGTTGTCTAAAACGAGAACACAAGAAGTTATTTTTGTTCCATTTCCTTTCCTGAGATTAAAGAGATACGGCTCAAAATTTGAAAAGGCAACTGTGGGGGTCCGAGATGATGGATCTTGTCAATTTCGAAGAACTGATTTGGGGGAAATGTTAGGAAATTTCGATCAGAAAATAATTTACATTCATAAATTCCTCTGACAATCTCCCTAACAACTTGCAACTTGACCGTGTGCTACCATTTGATAATAATCGCTGAAAAGTAATAATGCTCACTGCGTTAATCACGCGCTGGCACCTGGATACGAGACAATTTAATCGATTCTGATTGGTCAAGAGTCTGTATGCCCTTGGCTCGCCACGCGCGCGCCAAGTCCATAAAGAGGTACTTGTGGACAACTTGTACAAGGAATATCTTAAAATGGACGGAGGTGTTCGGGAAAATTAAAGTAAAATGCTGTTAACAAAATCCATCAGTTACTGACTTCTTTTGAGAGATTTGTAATTGTGGCATATATCTAGGTTGAACAGGTGCTTTGAAAGCAACACAAACATAATTCTATAAACTCGAAACCGATTGCGGTTGATATGCTTGGTACTTGTTTATGTCTTAATTTTAAGAACATATTCTTGGGATCTTAGCAAGGTTAGGAGCCCACGTTATATATATATATATAAAACACTCAGAACTGCTTAAAGTGACGACATAAGTTCTGCAGTCCGGCCTATTTAGTTAATGGCCTTTAGCCAAAAGTCGTGACGTCAAAAGTTGAGCTCGTTTCCTCTCGGATAAACCTTTTTGGAACCGGCCTAAAAGTTATGGCGTGTACAAAATCAACCTAAGGGAGATACCTCGCGTGAATCACACCTTTGCAAGACATTGAGAATACATAGTTTGATCGAAAATAATTTTATCATGTTCCAAGAAATTCTTCGGCTCCGAGAAAAAGCCGTATAAGAAATCACAACTAAAGAATGAACTGGATGCGTAAGCGTACTTACTCACTCCTAGTGAACCCAAGCAAAAAACAGAACCTTCAAGTGTTGACAGGCCCACACAATAACATTCTTCCTCTAAGAATGAAAAAAGAGTTGAGCTAAGGTGCGCTGCCTGCAGTTTTTGTTTGTTCGTTACAAATTCGCCCCATTTTGTTTGAACTAAAAGAAGCAGCATATATGAAACCACTTCCATTATTCAGTTTGGAAAAATAGTAACATAATTTTTTTTAACATGTAGCGGGTTGGATTCCCCTCCATGCCACATTAATCCTTATTTGCTGTCCCCAATTTCATTGTCAGCGTCCCGATCATGCCCTTAAACTCTCCTGGCCGTCGCATTCTACCACTCTGCACCTGCCTAGTAACTTCTGGGGGGACTCTAAGTAAAACAAAGGCGTTCCTCGAAACGCAGAGCCAGATGAATCAGAATGAATATGGAAAGACACAATGGGCACTTTTCTTTAGACACATGAATATTCTAGGAGACTAGGCAAAAGATTTCCGTGCCCAAGAGGCAGTACAGATAAAAAACACGTTTCTGGAAGAATTTGGGCAAAAACCTATCCACTCAGCTAGGGGGGACACAGACTTGGGCCAGGCAAAGAAAAGATCACCAATCGAAACCAGACTTTTCCTTTTTTTTTACAAACTGTTAAACTAATTGATCCCAAATTACAAATTTATTCCAATTTTTCTAACTAGTCAATATTATGTTTAAAATTCTCGAGCACTACCAGTACAAATGGGTAAATGTTACCATGGAAAGATCAATAAAAAAATCGTCAGACAACTGCTGACTGACGACAACTAAAACGTACGTATCCTCTCCAAAACCCGCTTGTGATGACGTCACTACATCACAGACCCGTATCTCATGACTAACAACCTGCCCGCGTGCTGTGGAAGATTGTCAGATGGTGCGGTCTTTATCTCTCGGAGAGTGGCGGCGTTAACCTTACGTCATCGCCAAATCTCCGAGGTGCAGGCTGCCAGCTATTAATATTGGAGTTAACTCGGCAGGAATGAGTCCATAGTAAACTTCAGCACGGCTATCACGCAGCACCCCCGAACAAACATCGTGACTTCATTTTAAAGGGAACTTAAACCGATATTACCGTAACTCCCTCGCAAGCCTTCAGCGTTTGCTCTTCAGCCGAAGTCGAGTCATCATGGTGAAACAATTTGGAGTGGGAAGCAATCGGACATCCGGACAAAGCAATCAGTTCTCCGAGAATGATTGAAACGAGCATAATATGCACCACCCTGCGTGGGAAATTGTATATTCTGAACTTAAGCTAACCCTCCTATGAGTTGAACTTTCAAACCCATTCGTAAAATCCATACACTTGTGTGGTAGGCGTATGGCTTCTAGAGGGAGGGTTCTAAACGAAATTTAGGCATCGAATGGGGAAACGGGGGCAGGGCACACAACTACTGGTCAATACTACTGGTCAATACTACTGGTCAGTACTACTGGTCAATACTACTGGTCAATACTACTGGTCAATACTGCTCAATGCGTTACGCACGAAAACGCGAGGGGACGTTTCTTTCTGAAGGATGGGGGAGCCTGACTCTTGAAGCCTGTTATAATACGGTTAAGTACGCACAAGATAACGTGTGCACTTGAAATTCCAGTTTAAAGAAAGAAGATGCTTTTTTCTGAACACTGTCTTATGGAAATGTCTCTCTGTATTTTGCCAGAACTTTGAGCAGGTGTTTTCATGCCGCGGCTTCGAATGTCATTTTCATCCAAACTCAATGTAATGCCGTTGTACAGAAGTTGCAATCTGGGAAAGTTGCCAATTGCCATAAAATGAGTTCGGTGAGTCTACTCTACTTCAGTGTGTACAACGCCTCTAAATTTCACTTCACACAGAAAAGCTGTGTGTTACATGCAGAAAATCCCCCAAATACTGGCTGTCCGATAATTTGGTTCTGGATACGCCTTGCTTCTATCGATGTCCCAAGTTTGCTTTAAAAATCTCCATCCTGCAGAGTCCCCCCCCCCACCGTCCACTAGACGGAGTACTGTTTGGAACAGACCCACCTGGGCCAGCGCAATCACAGCATTAACCTCAGTTAAATACAATTATCCCTTTGAGGACGTATGTCAATTTGAGTGTCCGCATTCATTATCTTCTAGCTTAATATTAATATTACTGTAATCTGTCCAATTTTCCAACCCTGTCTGGCAGTTTACCACGCGGTCGAGCCTGCCTTAAAGACCACGGCTTCCTCTGAAAAGCATACGGGAGCCCGTCCGCAGAGCAGGGGTGCAGCTGGATTATTTTTTTTTCAGGTTGCGCGGGGAGTAAAATGACGGCAACCAGGATCCTTTGAGACACTGGTTTCCGTTTTGTGGTAAAAACGACAGAAAACTCACTTTCCTTCTCGTTTTATTTTGGTTGCATTACTACTTTCTGTTGTGGGTGCACCTTGGGACGGAAGAAATTTTCAAGGAAACATTCACCCGGCCGCCACAGCTGCGCGGTGCTACTCAGTTTTGGAGACATGCCATGGACTTACGTGCAACTGTCAACTTCAGTTTCACATCCTTGTACCCTGCACCGGTAACTAGTTCAGACTATATCTCACCACCATCATTTTCTTAAAGCAACAAGTATATCTGGTGTCGCATAACGAGTTCATTTGTGCTTCTCGCTTGATTTCATCTCAGTGAAGATATTACTTACAGCTCTATGGCGATGTCTTATTAATTTTTGTCTGAATAAGAAAAAATGAGTCGATAGTTAGCGTGCCCCCACGGCGCATGTGTAATTTGGTAGAGGAATACTCCCGGTCCAGCTTCTCGATTTCCTGATCAATCATCGGTACACCGGCTAACTCATTAATCCGGTATCACAAATTAGGTTATTATCTTAAAATTAATGTTTCCGCTGGTTCTTCTACAAACAGGTTACCACGCCCACACCTACTCAGTGGAAATTGTTTGGTTTAGACTCGCAACTGACGCTGCTCACCGACGCTAGTTTGATTTTACCGCAAAACATTGCATTTCCTGCGTTCATCTGCTTCATTTTGATTCACCCACGGACGCAGAAACTTATATAACCGACCCGAGTCAATAACATCTTTCATAAGCCCAAAACGCGGTTACGAGTTCATTGCCCGCTTTTATCGTCTGAACGCGAAGGCGTAAACAGCAGTTGTCATCGCACTGCCGGATCGACTTAGTCACTGGCCAACCCCAAAATCTCCCATCTCTCAAGCACGTTTCCTGAAGGGAGAACACAAAAGAGGAAACCGGCCACATTTTCCACGGGTGAAGGTGCTTCCGAATTTACAGACGAAAAAGAAAAGGGGCTGGTGGATTTCGGTTGCGAGCCGGCGCAGGGCCCTTGCTGGGACGACCCCGTGGGACAAGCGCTGTTGGACTCCCAGACGAATCCACGCACGTACACCGCGCATTCGACCAAATAACAAAAGAGAAAGCCCTCTTGTGGGCTGATGACGCCTGAAGCTTTCTCAAGCAAGTTCAACGCGACGGTTTACCACTATTATATAACCGTTCCACCGGCTGTGCGCAAGGGTTTCGAAAACACGAGCGTAATCCGTATAAGGCGGCAAGAACTGTAAGCCCTTTTTCACTTTCGCCGAATTTCAGGCGTAAATTACACCCTGCAATTCCTCCATCATTATTTCGTGTCGCAAAAAATCTCTCCCGTTTTATTGGATGTCTGTGGGATGAAAGATGGCTGTCCTGTACACATCGGTGATTCTTAGATGCTTAGGCAGGCTGCTTCAAGGAAGTTTTGTCTCACTGATGTTAGCTGCCCTTGCTTGGGCTCTACTCAAATACAAGTGAGTAAATAATTATTATTTTTTTCATAGTTATTGTTAAAATTTAATATGCAGTGTCGAATGCCGGTTTGGGAGTTGAGGGTTGTGAAACAAGAAGTTCTTTTCTGGAAATATGACAGAAATTATGAGACGTTTCAACAGCGGAGATGCTGTGCTATCCCCGTTGCAAAGTGTGGGCTCTCTATCTTTACGTAACTCCCCCAAGAGAGAGAACCCCAACCACCGTGCTGGATATACGCTGGTCTGTGTGTTCTTTGACTTTGATTTACTTTTTACTAACCGGAGCAACTTGCAGAGAAGAGTCTACTTGCCTATAACATTATTTTGACTGCCCTTAGGGTTAGGAATGCCTGCTTTTGTTGGGACCACAAGGCAGGTATTTTGAACGAGTGCTGCTACTTCACTATACAACATTCATGACACTGACGAAAATACTTCCATGTGCTTAATCGAAGAAAGGCTTCTCATACAATTTGTCATCACGTATCTTAATATCGCAAGGATCGCGTATGGATCGGACAAAGCACGCACGCAGGCATGTATTTTTTTTACGCTTTCGGTGAGAGATTAATATCTAAATCATAAACTTTTTTAAACTTTGAAGAAAACAGCTAAAGGGTACTATGCCCTTCTCGATCGGCGGTGGTGCACGGCGTTAACATGGACAAGTTGTAACTTTTCTCTGAACAAAGAAATATATTGCCGAACTTTCAAGTTTCTTTCAACGTAAATAATCTGTTTCTCTGAATGAAAAACTCTCGGATTCCTTTGAACATCGAAAATAGTATTCCTGTACGCATACTGTGTAATTTTTGTTGGCAGCACTTGTGGTTTCCTGTGGGGTCAAACTGTATTTTCTACTTCGCTCACCTTTCCTTATGGAAACTTAATTATGGTCGGTGCAGGTGATTGAGTGGCCTGTTAATAGACTTTGAAAATCACCAAACATTGTCTCAAAATAGGGACTTGCTGACAGATTGTTATCGTATACTGTATAATTCATGATTTATTGTTGTACAAGTCTTGCTAAAAAAGTGGCCTGCCTCAACAAAAATGTGAGTTTACTCTAAGCACTTGCCTCTGGAAAGAGACACAGCTGATTCTCGTCATCTTGAAACTGCTCGTTCCTTACATTGTATAAGACGTCAAAATGGCCTTGTATGGACTACTTGTGCAAGCTATTTTATTTAATTAATTAATTAGATATAGATTGTTTCCCTGTATGTAAGTTGAAGATGTGAGTTTATTATTTACTTTACAAAATTAGTGGTCATGGGCGGATCTAGACAGAATAAATGAATATAGACTTTGCTTTAATCATAATAGACCACTCTCATTTTGCCTGCAACTTATATGGGCGACCAACGTGTTTGCAGAAATATCACCTTTTGGTTGGTTTTCAACTTTACCTTAAATTCGTTCAGAAAAAACTTTGTCCCATTTATTTTAAAGAGGGTTGTATTTTCATTTAGAATTCATTAGTATGTGTATTACTATCTGATGTTCGAATAGCTGCAAGGGATTTGTAATACTTCGTGAATTGTTCCTTTAATTTGTAGCGACGGAGAACTATAGTTTTAGCAGCCACTTACATGAAAAACACGGTTGTGACGTCAAAGCGCAGATCCTACTCAGCCTCTTCAAAATCAATGATTGGAAATGAGATCTTCAATAGAGTACCGAAGTGGATACGTCGCGCGCACAATTAGTGTGTGAATGGCATTAGCGCGAGAACCAGCGCGTGAACCAACACGTGCGCGTACTCCATTCGTTTGCACTGCACTTTCTGGTTCAAAGTGACGCCACACTTCGGTGCATGCAGAGAGAGTCTGATATCACAGTGAACCAAAAGCTAACGCGTGCGTCTGTACACAGGCAGTTTTTTCCTAGCCCCCCCCCCCCATGTTCAATGCCTCACTGAGCTGAACCGTTAGAGGTTGATCAAAGCTCTTCTTGCGTGATTGTATGTTGTATGCTGACAATGAAAACTCCATGTGAACTGGTAGGAGCAATCTAAAATTGAGTGGAATAATTTCCGTTTTGAGCAAGATTCGTGGAAGTTAAAGAGTGACACGGCGACATCGCATCCTATACTAGGCCGGTAGAAAGAGGAAAGTTTCGAAGAATAAAATGTTAAAAGTCACGATGAAAAACTTCCCTGGAAATTGGCCTTAACCACTGATGCCGAAACATTATCCTGGTTTTTTTCCACGCCCGGTAGATTTCCGAAATCTTTCTTTTTACCCTCGCGTCTCCTCCAGTCTTTCGCCGAAACTCAAGCCTTCGCTGCTTTCATAATGGTTTAATGCATCTGGAAGATAAAACCTGTTGTTTCATAAACTCTTCCATATCCTAATTTACAAATAAAATGCAGTGTTGATCGGGCCCTCCTTTGCTTTAGATCGCGCGGTAAGACACGTCTTCCCAACGGACCTATCGGCTTGCCCCTGCTAGGATACATCCCCTTCCTGGGCCGCAAGCCGTACCTGACGTTCACGCGCCTGGCCCAGCGCTATGGCAGCGTGTTCAGCGTCCAGTTGGGTGCCAAGCTCCTGGTGGTGCTGAACGGTCGGAAGGCGATCCGGGAGGCTTTGGTGACCAAGAGCCGGGTGTTCTCGGGGAGGCCACAGTGGGTCCTGAATCGAGTCAACCAGGGAAAAGGTAAGTTCACTGATGGTCTTCCTCATCAACCCTCTAAAAACAATGAACATCACCACTGCCAACCTCATCTTCATCTCTTGTTTCTAACCTTCAATCCCAAACTTCCTCCACCGACGAGGGAACAAAAAAGCGGGGAGATAAAGATAAAAGAAAGCTAGAATCATTACAAACGCTACTTTGTCAGAGTTCTTTTTTTTTAGTTAATTAACGCAACGAACTGCTACAGGATGCAGAATGCGGCTACTCGTGCCATATTCGCACAGACCAAAGTCAGTACAGATATCAACTCCAAAGTCGATGGCGTAGAGCCTTTTTCGACCTATTTTCCTCCTGAATTTACAAAAATTCCCCCCATTGCGGCTGTCCTGTCTTCTTTACCAGCATTTAATCCATCGCGGTCGCCTTTGTCACAGTGATGACTTCATCGTGGTCATTAACCACCAACGCCACTTTGTCGCTGGCGTTATCGCTGCCGTCAAGTTACCCTCATTATCGCGACCACTGATATCATCTTGCAGGTTAAAAATCCAAAATTATGATTTCTGAAGACTTACGAGCCTTCCAACGATGAAATGCTGTCCTTAGCTATTATAGTACCACCCATTAAGTTCTTAAGAATGGTTTTTAATTTCATCCTTGATGTTTAAGACTAAGGTTTAATAAGCTGACGAAACACCCCAGAAATCAGACTGGAGGAAATTTTCATCTTACATCGATTCTGCAAAACCCAAGAAATACTCTCATTTTGTAATAATTTGGCGGCTTATGAATCACTCTTTTCCCCTGTTCGGGTAGATAGAGAGAGAGATAGGGCTGGCTCTATTTTTGGTACACAACCAACCCCAACTCGTGACTATTTTTAGGCTGCGGTCAAAACCACTACACGCTTTTCCTGCATCAGCTTGATGTCTAAAGTAAATGTGACACGGGTATTTCACAATTCACGTTAGTTATTCAGTCCAGACGTGACATGCGTGACATTTTATTTGTTCGGTCCCTATATTTTCTCAAGTTCTTTGCCACTGCTTTGAAGGACTTCATACGATCCATATCTATGCTCCTGGGTGGAAGATGGTTGTTAGGAGATTTCGTCCTGGGAATTCTTCGCGGAAAAAGGTCTTTTCACAGATGCCGTTGTGTATGCATGTAGTGGTATACCTTACTTGTGTAGACACATTTGGCTGGGCAATCGGTATTATAACTGGGGTAGGTTAATTCCGGTTTCCCGTCAAGAGAATGACTTCAAGCGGTTGTATGTTTATTTGATTTTTTTTACAAATGGTTTAATATTTGTTTCTTTCTAAAGTATTTTTCTGCCTGTATAAATTCCAAGCCGGTAAGCTATAAATTGGAAAGGGTCCATTATACGTGAACTTCACTTGAGAACATGTTTGGGGTAACTTAAATGTAAGAAAACTTCCCATTTTTCTTTCAAATGTTTATAAATATCCATGTTTTTTTCAGACAAATGAGAGTGTTGTTGCGTGACGTTGTATTGTATATTGAGGATTTCTGCTCAAATTGTAAACTTTTTGGCCGTTGGAAACCTTTTCTGGGACCCGCTCATTGACCCGTAAACCGAACCACAAAATCACTAAAATGAACAAAAGTTTCGATAGTGCTTTACCCAAAATTCTGTCAATGTTAGTGCAGAAATAGCTGCAACACACTGAGGTTTCTTCTCTCGATGACATTTCACTTTTGCTCTTAATTAATATGTAAATTTGTGTTTGAAAAATTAAGTAGGCATGCACCAAAATGCCATTAAAATGCCACTTGCCAGAACACCAATTGAAAATCAGGTACGGAACACAACAGTGACTTTATTTAAACGGGAACTTTATTTAAAAACTAGTGTTGCGTGAGCCCATTTGAATCCTGGATTTGTGGTTCCTTTCTGCCCGTTTGATCTGAAAGACAGATGTCGTGCCTCTCCTTCAATCACTAATTGAAACCTCAGTCAACGCCATGGCGGTAGCGCGGACTTGGCCACTGCCACAACTCAAGGTCAAATACCACGACGGGCAACGCCACGTACGGCAGTAGTTCGGCCTACCCAAACACGCCATAAGCCTTTTGGTCCTCGGGTCTTTTCTTTGTCCTCTCCGAATTAAGTATCAATTTTGGCCGGGTTCTGCTTTTCCCCCGGATTTGAGTAATCTCGGCGTGAATACCGACAAAGTGCGCTAACCCAACGAAATGGAGAGAAGGGGGGATTTGGCTGGGATTAATGTTGAGCCCTGGATGGGGCACTGAACATGTTGTCGTGGTTTGGAACATCCTCGCTGTGGTGACAGAACCGGACTCATGCTTGGTTTCAAGTTATGTGGCTGGTGTTTTGAATTTACTGAAAAGCGTTCTGAAGAGTTCGTCCAAACATTGATCGTGTGAAAGTAGGAGCGTCTATATGGGTGTACATAACCGAGAAAATTTTCGGCTGTCATGGTAACATTTAGGTCTCATAAGACTATATAGAAAGGAAATTTTCCACAACCCTCGCGCCAGAGGGAGTGACGCCCAGCCCGACCTTCTCCAGGCATGTATGGCTGCTGTTTGTACATCAAGGTGGTCAATTAAGTGGAAAAAAAGTCTTTGAAAATTTAGTGGAAATTGGCATTTAATGATGTTAAACTTTTCTGTGACGTCACACAGTTGCTGAACGTGTTGATTATTTCAACGAATCCACAGCAATCTGTACATTCATGTGACGAACCAGATATACCAAGAATTTGGCAAGGATTGTTTGTAAATACTCAGTGCCAAAAATTAGGTAAAGTGGGGAACAAATTGAAAAGCGAAAATGTTACGAACCATACTGTACTTTGTAAGATTTTGAAGTCGCATTTACAAGGTTATTCAACAAAATACATCAAAAAAGATAATAACAAAATTAATCAAAAGTGAAAAATGTAATGTAAACCAAATGTGTACGTCGATATTTTTCATGAGTCTTGGTTTAATTCATATGCCATACTCCTCATTATGCATAGCTACCTGCTGTTTGAGAAAAGTCAGAGAATAGACTGTTGATTCGTCTACAGTTCCTCGTCCAAAATTACTTGCTAAGCCTACTTTCGCCACAGTCCACAATCTTCAACGCAGTCTCAGATTTTTCAACCAAAACGAACTACACTTTTAACCAATCAGGAATCGCCAATCAGCAAGCCAATCCCACTTGGCGGGAACACCGCCGTTTCGTGCTGTCAGTCATGCGCAGCATAGGAGAAGGAAGGACTCAGATGGAAAACAAAGTTGCTGAAGAGGTACGTCAATTATAATCGAGTTTTGCTCACCAATTTGGAAGATTTAAGCAACACATCCCAAAGATAAGACCCTCCCTTTGTTCATACCTGAAAAGGACATGATCCGGATTACTTAAAATCCTGTGGGCATCTATGTATTAATTGCTCTCTCTTTCGCTATTTAAATCTTCCATTTTTAAACAGAAGCTTCTATCTTCAAATTCTGGCTTTCACTCAGACGAAACAAGCACTGCAGTTACCCGGTTTAAACCAGGCCTTTAATGCAACCGCTCAAAAATCATTACCGGCCCAATTTGTAATCAGTCCCCGGTGAGTTCTCCCTAGCACGAGATCCCGGTTCATTGAACCAGTCGAATCTCTCCGGTGGGGTCTTTGTGCAGTAACTGCTTGATGGATGGGTCCGCTCTGGGAAGGCATGTTCTTCCCCTCATTTCTTGTCGTTCCCCGACGCGAATGTCGTCGCGCTTGTTTTTGCAATGTGTTATGTGGAGTCGCTAGGACACAACCATGTGCCTCTGCTTGTCAGTGTTCCGCACAAGACTGCTTGCTGACTGATTACCTAGACGACAAAAATCTTGCGAGCGCACAGCTTGTTACATCTATCGATCATTGGCGTAACTACGGGGGGTGTCCCCGGTGGAAATCCGTGCCCCTGGGGTGGACCTATGTATAAGCTACAGTCCATCTGCTTTCAGTGTCCTCCTGGGATCCCTCAAGAAATTTCATCCAAGTTACGCTTTTGTTACTCGTTTCTGGTCTTTACTTGACAAACTCAGATGGTGTTTTCTATACAAAAATACAGTATCGAAAGGCTGGAGCTGGTAATGAAACTACGAAAGTGCTCTTTTGTCAAAGAAACGTTAACCAATAATTATTTGAAAAGACAAGCTTGCTTGAAGGAGCGCACACTCATATGTATATATGGAACACCATACTTATGCGTTTTTTTCCGGAGCACTCTCAGAACGAACCTATTCCGTAGATAAGGAAAAGTAGGGATGATATTCAAATCTCGTACACCTACCTTCATACACCTATCTTACATCCGTTGATGTGTTCAGTGATGTGTGACACAAAGATGTCACAACTGGCAAAAGTTTCATATTAAAGCTTTTATGGGTGGCCTCAAGTTCCCCCCTTTTATAAAGTGATACGCATGGTTGCAAGACTGCTTCTCGAGCCCCAAGTTAGAACAGTGTTATTGCATGGTTTGGGCCGGTAAAACGACTTCATTTTGACGGTTCAAGATAGCACTCCATCTTCCTCAAGAAGTGGGGTGCTCTCTGTTAATCATCTTCAACTCCACCTCTCGAGAGATGCGACCAAAAAGACAGATATTGCCAATTTAATGGGATGACAATCAAATCTCATCCAACTTTCAGGTGTCCCATCTCATCGAGGAGTTTGCGTCCCACAATGGTGACGCGATGAACATGACTTATCCTGTTCAGCTGGCCTTCAGCAACGTTATCTGCTCCGTGTGCTTTGGCCAGCGCTTCAAACCCACCGACCCCGACTTCAAGCGCCTGCTGCACATGGCCGACGTCTTCTTCAGCCACCTGACCAGCGCCAGCGCCGCCAATTTCATCCCTCTGCTCTGGTACCTTCCCCTCCCCGGCCACCGGGCGGTGCGGGAGATGTACACCGGCATTTTGGACTTCGTCTCGGCCAAGGTGGACGAGCACAAAGCCAGCCTCGACCCGGACTCGCCCCGAGATCTCATCGATATCTACCTGGTCGAGATAGCTAGGCGCAGAGCTGGTACTAACCCCGATGGATCGGACTTGCCGGTGGAGAACGGTTTCAACGAAGACTACATAAAGCACGTAGTAGCCGACCTGTTCTTCGGTGGGACAGAGACGGTGAACGCGGGCGTGTTGTGGGGATTCGTGTGCATGGTCTTATATCCAGACGTCCAGGCGCGTGTTCAGGCGGAAATTGATGAAGTAGTCGGGCAGGATCGGATGCCTACAATGGCAGATCGAGCTCATCTACCTTACACACAAGTAAAAAAAATCTTTCCGTATTGAGCCCATTAACATTATCCACTTTCACTACCTGGAAATATTCCTATTTATACCCCAAAGACAAACATTTAGTCAAGAGCGAAACACCAAAACTCATAGACTTTCCAAAGAATTATCACAAAAGGGGAAACGTTTCATGCTGTTTCATTAAATTGGCAGCATTTCTAGGAAGTCTGGGCAGGCAGTTCGAACTTTCCTGGACCATAGGTTTTTTTATGGGTTCATGCCTCCACAGACGCGTAAAATCGTGTTAAACGAACACGAGAACAAGGTTTCGAACAGGGAGAATCAACACGCGAACATTGTTCGCCAACAACGTTCTCACTCCCCACTTTCTGGAGAGTGGATGGAGAACATCAAGAACAAAGATGGCGGATATAGGCAGATACCGTAACCTAATGTTGGTTTTGTTACTTAAACTAGAAAACACAATAAGGAAAAAACCCAGGGCAAATATTCATGGCTATTGGAGAGAATTAACCCTGATTATTTACATGGAATATGGATATTTGGGGATTTTATTTAATGTGAGATGGTAAATGTTATGCCATCTTTTCATTTGGTGTCAAAATGGCGACTGCTATCTTGACCTTCAGCGCAGCTGGAGTCGGCAGCTGGACTCCTTTTGCACTTCGGCATTCGTAATCCACACCCAAGAACACTGTTCTTAAGTCCCACGAGAATGGGGTTTTGAATACGCCCCGTAGACTGCTCAGCGTCACTAGATGTCGTCTCGTGTGATGACAGGAAAGTTAAAATGAGAGAGAAGGCAGCAAGATACAGATCGTCAAACATAATTTAAATGCTCAGATATAGTCAGTGTTACGCAGATATGCTCGCGAAGTTTTTTCAGGGGGGCCTCGCTTTGTCACGATACAGAAGAGGTCGTCAAAGAACAGCTTTAACAAAGAAACTATGGATCAGTTGTTGATCATCTCAATACAAAAAAAATTCTCTTTTCTCGACCTTTTATTTTTTTTCCATTTCGACAGGCAACACTGCAGGAGATCAACCGGCGCTGCAACGTCATTCCCTGCGCCATCCCACACGTGACGACGGAAGACGTGGAAATGAACGGCTTCATATTGCCCAAGGGGACCACCGTCACGGCCAATCTGTACTCAGCACACATGGACCCGGAGTGCTGGCGCGAACCCGAGCGCTTTGAACCCGCTCGCTTCTTGGACGAGACGGGACAACTCATCCGGGGGCATGATTCCTATATGCCCTTCTCTTTAGGTAAATTGCAAATAACTTGAGAAGACAGTAGGTTTGAAGGATAGGGATCCAGGCACCACAGGTCCTGAAAAGAGACTTGAAAATTCACGAGCTCGTGGGTAAGTTTAATAAAGACAAAATACTTGACCTGAAACCTACAAAACATTATTTTTTCTGATATCACTGCAGTGCACTTTTTCACCAGCCAAGCTCAGTAGGTGGTTGAGAAACTCTGTGCGGTCATTTTGACACTAATTTTGTGAAAATCGAACATACTATTCTCGCGCAGCGCCCGTTTTTTCCCGACACAATCAGGCCAAACTGTGTACCATTCTCCAGTGCCGTGATGCTCTATATACGCCAGCTGGGAAGTGTACTGTGCGTCCTTCAACCTCAAATGACCCTAACAAGAAACGTACCCGTGTGTCACACTGGGTCGACACTTCACATTTGCATTGATGAGGACGGTTTTTTTTTACATGCATGCCAAGTTTTTCAAAAATAAGGCATGGGACGGCTGAATTCTTAGGGGGGACGAAATCCGTACTAGACCTGTGAGATGGTCCAAAATAAACTATTTTCGGGGTTAAATCCATAAATTCTATAATAATGCATTGCGGCTAAGTTCAGCATCTTCTTGAAAGCAAAAAAAAAAAGGGAACGTTTCGCATCTTTCCTCAGCGGCAGACAGAAGTCTCGGATATATATATTGACTCATCATAAATCATTATGCTGAGACAAATTTAAATCACAATGATATTGCACACTCCAAAAAGGTCGCTTTTTGTTTCACTTAGCGCATGGGCAGTACAGTAATTCCTGCCAATCTTCCCCTAAAGGTTGCCGTAAACTCTCCTTGATATTGTGTGACGAGCTGTGCATTAACTGTCGATGAAGGTCCTATCATTAAATATTTCTTTATAGACCTTTGCTCTGTCACGTAAATGGTCACCACAGCTCGCCTGACTATTGATTCCTCCAATCTGATAAGTTCATGTCGGTGTAATTCAAACCAGGACCCCGCGCCTGTCTCGGGGAGCAGATGGCCAAGTGCGAGATGTTCCTGACGTTCACGGGCATCCTCCAGAAGTTCCGTCTTGAGCTGGCCGAGGGAATAGAGCGCCCTACTCTCGACGGTCTGCCAGGCATCACGCACGCACCTAGGCCGACCAGAATCAGACCCATTCCGAGGAAAATCCGAAGAGATTAGGCGGCTTTAGCATGGTTTTTAATTACATATCCCTCGGTAGGGCTTGAACGAAATCCCACCCACAATTGCCACCTTCTCCATGACGTGTACGTTGGGTAAACCAAGGGTGGATCAAGAGCCGAATTTTCCGGGGGGAGGCAATCTTTCGGGGGAGGACCACAAAGACTTTTTTTTTAAAAATTGTGTAACCTTTAACAGGCCTTTCTGGCCTTAAGGTGAGTTTCATTTGTGACCATACATTTTACATGCTTAGGGAAGAGAATGACACTGTCCCCAATATTCACTTTTTTCTCACTTTCAAAAATAAAATAAACATCTGCCCATTGGAGAGACATCCCCTCCCCCCCCGATCTGCCGGTGAAAATTTGCCGAACTTGAGCAACTCCTTTATAGACGAAGATGAATGGAAACTTAACATTATGTACGGGTGGAATTCAAGTCCGATCAAATGTCATCTCAGTTTAAATCGTTATTCCATGTAAGACATACAGCAATATCATACAATGTGTGGTGCTCCCTTGAAAAATCTGTGCACCCCCGGGTGCCCCCTGGGACATTTTATCCTTAGTTACGCCACTGTTAAAAAAGGCAATGGAACACATTGCATCACGCCCTTGGGCCATCTGTGAGGGTTGTATTAGACATGTTTTAGATTACTGTGTACCTGTTTTAATGAAAATCTTAAGCAAGAACAAGTGAATAAGTTAGAACGTATTCAAGGACGGGTGTGTCGCATTATTATTTGAGAGGATTACCAGAGTTGTAGGCTCGAGTCACTTGACTTGAGTCAGACTCGAGTCTCTACCTTTGTGACTCGTGACTTGACTTGTAACTATTAGCTGTTGACTTGTGATTTGACTTGTAAAATGACTTGTTACCACTTCTGGAGCTTTCACAAGTTATGACTATGCCTTAAACTCGCGCAATCTTCAACACTTGTGAAGCAAGGAGACATACTTTGTAGAGACTGCTATTTCAACTGAAAACCAACAAGTGTGTAAAGTTTGACTACCACCAAAAAGAAACGTTGGTTTTTAACTTAAGACATACCCAAAAGTTTGAACAGTTCAAATACCGCACAAAACGATACATTAACAGTGCACTTTCCCATCTCGTTGACGTTTTAAATATTTTGTAACGGTTTTTAACTCACGTGATGTGAATAGTTAGTAATTTAGTTGTGTAGTGTCTGCTCTTCTTAGTGTTAGTAGAGTCGAGTCATTTTAACATTGTGACTCGAGTAGAGTCATGAGGTCAAGAAGTCGAGTGGAGTCACTCTGTGTAGTGGAGTCGAGTCAAGTACCGAGCTCGAGTCAAATTGAGTCACAAATTTTTGAACACAATACAATGAAAACACAACTACATGTAAGTCATTTTTAATTTTTTTATTTTCATTTAGACATACTGAAAACATAGTAGGGTGACAGGTATCCAGCCAACTAAACTTCTGCTTTTGATTTTTTTGAGCCTCGAGTCTGATAAGCTTATACTCGAGTAGAGTCTCAATGAGAGACTCGAGTCGAGTCGAGTCGAGTCATTTACCCATCGAGAGTTGAGTCCAGTCGAGTCGTCAAAAACTTGTCACCCGAGTCGGAGTCATTGACTCGATTTATTACAACTCTGGAGTCTCTTTTGTTTGTCAATAATTTGTCTATATATAATATTAGCGTTTATGTAGATTTGTTCTTCAAATATTGTAATATTAAATAGTTGTGATGTAAACATGTACAAATCAGTTTTAACCATTAAACGTGTTTTTAAATAACCATTATTTGAATTGGATCGCAATTGAATTGCATACGAAAAATCAGGAAATAATTTTTGGTGTTAGATGGAGGTGTAGTTTGTATACGTTGGGGAAAAGTAGGATAATGCGTTTTAATCTGTTCAGCGAAAGCTTAACGGATTGTTGTTTATGGTCATGTTCAGTTCATGCAATTACATAATTGACGAATTTCTTTGTCTTAAGCCGGTTTACACAGTCCCATTTGTTCGGTATGAACCTGGGCAAATTAAAGTCGAAATACGAATGAACAACTTGGCTGTGGTCGGGTGGGTGTTAACATTAGTTCCTGGAAACTGGATAGCGACAGCAGCCCTTGTGCACGGACGGTCTCTTGGAGCCCGTCCGTTCTGATAGTGTAGCGCCCTCTTTTGTTATGAATCATAATCGCGCATGGGCTCGTCATCTAACAGGGGAAGGGGGATTTTCCATAGCCCTCAATCTTCAATCGTGTAGCGACAACTTAGTTTTTCAAAACCTGACATGAACTTCCATACATCAGTTTTATACATCTGGAAAAACGTGTGGCCCATAAAGGTTTTTCACGCGACGTAACATGACGGCCAGAGGCATCTTAGGAATTGCAAGCGAACCATGTCCCTGGAGGTGCGTGGATTTCCGTATCTATTGGAAACTTCATTGTACCCCAGAATCCTTGATCTAGTAAAATGTTGAGAGTGTAGGTTGAACGCCGACCATTAAAAATCACGTGACTGGGACAGATTGGTCAAATTAGTCAGCCCACTTTCGAATAATGAACATTTCAGCCATTTAGTGTCATTTGTAAAAATGCTCGGATCTTTGACAAATTATTTTCTATTCCAACTTTGGCTGTGTGGTATTTACTTGATATTAAACAATGAAACACAATTAAGAATGTAGAATTGTTTTTGTTTTGTTTTTGTGTGCGGGGGGTGTATTTGGAGGAGCTTGCAATTAATTATTTTCTTCTGAAACCTTTTTTTTANATGTTTGGATCTGTCATCTTCTCATTAACTTGGTATATCGAAAAAAATTGATCGATAGTTCATACGTTATGCATTACTTCAGAATTTTATTTCCTGTGCCGGCCAACCTTTTTGGTTTTAGGGGTGTGGGTTTTTAAGGTTTAAGGGACCAGTGCTTTTGATTGAGGATTTGTAAAGGAAATTTGAACAGTCTTGATTACAAAAAAGGTGGGTCCGTGCTCATATATGACTTTTTAAGAGAAAACTGAATTTCTTTGCAGTGGAGGCGTCAGGATTCCGACGTGAGAGTTGAATTAATCATCAAGCAAAGTTCATCTTAGTTCCCCAAAATCAAGTTCTAATTCATGTTTGTTCAAAAAAAAATTCGATATCAAGGTCCGCAAAATGGCAAACCTCAGTGGGTCAAGTGATGGCGCTGTTTCAACACTCCGTAAAAAACTCGAAGTGGCCAACTAGTCTAGTCGTCGCCTCCCCTTGTCCGTGATCCACGACGCGTACTTGATAAAGGGGGAACCAGGCTAATAAACTTTTTGTTGATAATAAAATTTGATGAATGAGTGGTCGTGAGTCACGATGTTTCTGGCTTTTTGTTATGACACGGATGGATGGGATGTGACTTATTTTATTCAGTGTTATGGTTAGCATCTGGGCGGACTGGTCATCACCGCTTCTGCACGAAAGTGTGCAATGCCTTGTTTTAATTCTGAAGCAATGCCGCGGCAATCAAAGTGTGATGGGCTTGGTTTGTGTCATGCACAGAATGATGTCGATCTCATCTCGTCCGGAATTGAACGTTGACGTTGAACTTGCATTGTTGTTAGAATTGTGACGAGAAAACACCCAGTTGGCAGTTGTACCGTAAGTCCATTGATAAAAACCCGAGGCGTACATGTATTTGTTGTGTGAAAGGATGTGATGTTTAGGGTTGGTTGTAACTGTGCACACAGTGTATTGGAAACTCCAGATTAGGCCTACAGCAGTTTCCTGATCGCAATCGGCGTGCAAAGAAAAAAATTGGAAATATTTGTCAGTCGCATTTTGGGAGGCCCGAGGAGGTCTGCTTTTTAAGGCAGACCTGCCTGTATATTTTTAAAACTAGTAGTGGAAAAAATGTTGCATCCTGACTCCACTTCAGCAGTTGTGTACAAAGCCTATAGGGAGTGAAGAGAATTATCTAACTGTCTAAGTCATGTAAGTATTTCCCTACAACATCGGTAAATGTTTCTCAGTCCAGAATTTGTGTCTTTCCAGCATTTCCATAATGACTGACTTTTATTTAGAAGATATATGATGAGAAAAGTGGAGTCAGGATGCAACATTTTAGTAGTGACTGATGCATCACACTGACAGGCATAGGCTTAATGAAGGTTGTATTATGCAATTGCCATCAGGCTTTTGGGATACCACTTACCAGTCGGCAGTGCACTGGATTCTCTGTGTTTTGCAACAGAAAATTATGTTCACTCATCTTTGTAGGTCCCACAAGTTATGGTGAAGGTTTTGTAGTCTACATGGGAAATGTTTAAAAAGGGATGAAGCCTATTATTAATAATACTAATATTAAGCCTGTGCTCGGGGATCTTCCTTTGGTGAGTTTTTTTCTGAAAACTACAGGTACATGTACACGTCTGCCTACTTTATTATTGTTTTTTCTTTGGGTATTGTCTGGCCTGGATAGAACAGATACCCTAGTCTCCAGATAGAAAGTGAAACCTACTCTTCAAAGTGCAGACAAAACACATCCAAAACAAAGTCGGTCCAATTGTACTCACTCTTTTTTCTTTGATATGCTCACTTGGCAAAGATGAGGCCCAAATACATGTCAATAGCAAAGTTTGAGTTCTCTGTCCAGCTTTGAAATATCTCCTTTATCTTCTTTTTAAGAGTGGACCCAAGTGAATTTCATTTGAGCATCTTGAAACATGGATCAGTTGTAAGTCTGGTGGCATGGCTGTTGAGAGTATGTATACAGATTGAGACTGGGGACCAGACTTTTGACAAGATTGTGTCAGTGCCAAGTGATGGATTATGTCACACACCGTTCTGCTTGTCTTTTCTTTCACTGCCTTTTTTTTAATTTCAAGATCTTAATTTTATACAACTGCTGGTACCAAACTTTCTAACCAGGGCCTCTTTGTCCCTAACACTCAAAATAAAGTGTTGGTGTGTGGGTTTTAGGGCGGGGAATCATATTTGCCATCCCCCCAGTCTTCAAAGGGATGTACTCGTGCCAATTATCATTGTGCATTATAATTTTCTCATTCAGACGTGATTCCTCCTCACAAAATTCATTGATACGTCGTCATGGCAACTAGCATCAGCAACGGGGGAACAACCCACGACATCCTCAGCCACCTAACAGACATCGACGTGACGAAGAACACAAAGGGCGCAAAGGATGAAGCCAAGGAGGAGGGGGCGGAGGAAGAGGAGGCCGAGGGGGTGGACTGGAAGGAACGATACATACTGCTAGAGGAACAGTTGGATAAATTCCGCCTGCAGGCCACCAAGATCCGCGCTGTGCTGGGTGAAAGGGTGAGTTTTTATTAGCTGTATTGTAGCCTCCTGCAGCCAATTATGCAAAACCTTACACAATGGCGCAGCTCCACTCATGCCACATGCTATTACATACACTGTAAGTTGTGCAACAAATTCTGACACATTGAATGAGTGTTACGCTCTGCGAACAAAATCGGAAATGGATGGTTTTACTAACTAATGATTTTCGTTGTAAAAGCTTTTTTGTTGCTCAACTTACATTGTAAAGGCTTATTGTTCAGGGAAAGAAGTGCTTGTGTTTTTTGGGTGTTGTGAAATGCTTGTTGCATGTAGGTTATGACAGAACTTAAACATTTATTGCTTGGTTCAGATGAGCAAAGAATGAAGGAAAACTTCAAAATGACAGTCACAGCTGATTCAAGAGATGCTCCCAGATGACAGAGGGATTGAATACAGTAGCTGTTCTCATCACTGATAATCAAAAACGTTGCACAGCGATACAATTTTTCCATGAAATTGCCTGCAAAAGCATTCCACTGTGACATGTGGGCCACAGATCTGCAGCACAATGCTTGTGCATGGTGCCAAGTTGTGCCAGATCTTACGAATTTGGCTGTCTGATGTCATTTCAAGGGACTGCTTGATATAAAGTATCTGAACTTAGCATAGCAGCTTGTTTTTGCTAAGTAAAAGTCAAATGGGAACCAGTGAAAATTGCATTGAAGTCACTCATATGTTTGACAGTTCAGCTAGTAATCAAATACTTGCTTGGCAAAAGCTGTTCTGCATGCTTTAAGTTCAGTAATTGCTCCAACAAGCTGGCCAGTGATGGTGTATTGCACAACCTTCATCCTTAAAGACCCTTTTTAAATGTGTTGGTTATTGTATAAATATCAAAGTTCACTTGCAAACCACTGACCATAAAATAGACTTTTCTGTGTTGGAATTCACCGACACACTACTACAGTATGCTACCATCCGTGTTGCGATGGATAACGAAAATACATGTAGTTAATCCATTCGACCGGTGACCTTTAAAATTAATGGTGTGCAGGAAATAATCAACATCCCTTCGTGCACGTAATTGGCAGATTTATTAAGCATGCAAGTTTGATCATTTGTTTTTGATCAGCCCTATTGTCCTTGACTTTTAAAGGGTTTAGAGGATCACATAGACTAGAGAGGTAGAGGGTTTTAAAGTTTGCTTATTACATGAACATGTTTCTCAGGTTGGCATACTATGTACAGGTGCCTACTTGTGCACAAAGTGGTTTTGTTTGGGGGGAGGCTGTCACAGTACATTTGACAATACCAGTAGTTGATGTTGTCTTTAACCTCTCCAGTCAAAGTACGGTCCACACTCGTTTTAAGCCCTGGTATCTCAAAATTAGTTTACATGAAGATCTACGTACATGTATGTACAACACATTCTTTTGTGAAACATAGCAATACCTGTATGCAGCTACGTACCGGTACAAAGTATGTGATGGTACATGTACATTCATGAATGTGTATACTAGTTCATGTACATGTACATGTATCTTGCTTACCTTAAAGAGAAGATGTTTTGGGTGCCTTATATACACATGTACAAGCACCTTTCAAGAACATCATTTGTGGTGCGTTTTGTAATTTCCTTTCCGTCACCAAGCTATACCTGTGTTTGATCAACACACTTTAGAGTAAGTTTCAATTCTTCTGTTAGTGTCAGAGTAAATGAAATCTACACGTACGTTTGTTGACTCTCAATGCCCTCAACAATTGAGGATTTTTGATGTTCTGAACCTGCGCACAACATGTGCCTGGCTTTTATATCTTTGACTGGTAGACTTGTTTGCTAGGGATCAGCTTGTCCTTATTGAATTTGAACATTTGGCATCAGTGTCTGCTACATGCACCGGTAGATGTTGGAGTAACCGTTTTTCTAACGGGGCAAATGGAAAATTAATGAATTAATGGAAAAAAATTATACGGTACACATGTGCACTAGACAAGAGAAAGCAGCACATTTTCTGAAAAAGAAAGGAGATTGTGTTCTTGTTTGAGATAATAAATGAAACAAAAAATGATGTCCAAATCTGTTCTCATTCAGATGTCTCACAGCCTTAACATATAAATTATTATACATGCATATTGTGCGTGTACCTGTGAGTGCATTCGGGTGTTGTTGATGACCAAACCTAAACATCCTTTAAGGATTCCTTATGAGAATTAAAGGTGAAGTCCATCATTTGTTATTCATGCATCATGTTCTTTGAGGCGACAAAGCACTCAAAATGTAAAGAAGGGTACACCTGTATCTAACGACTAACCTGATAAAGAGTTAGGCCAGCTAATGCATGTACATGTATATTGAATATTTAACTGGCCAGTATTGTGGAATGCGGAGTTCAACTTCAAATTCACTGATTCATGTTTTCAATTGTACAGTGTCCTCAACATAATCTCATCTAGCCAACTGTAGTTATGCGATGTCGTGTAACTGACAAATTACATGTATAACTGCATGTGCAATTGTGCCTCATGTCAACACTTGTGCACGCTGCCTGAAATGAAAATAAACTGTTAATGGCAATATTTTTAAAAATGTGTCCTTGGACGCATAGTTAAACAAAGCCTTCTTTCAGCGTTTTTTTTTTCTTCGAAAGGACAGCTTGCCAGAAAGAATAATTTCACAGAGTCTAGCTTCATAGCGACATGTACAGTATCTTTAACCCTAACACTCCTCAATCCTTCACCTGTTGGAGGACTGAGGAGTGTTAGGGTTAGTTTCGTCAGTTTCTTTTCTGATAGTTGCAAATGATGGAGTGCACCTTTAAAGGGAGGAAGCAATACAGCCACGAAATTACGATGTAAGCCTCGGTCAAACCTGTGAGGACCTCCTATCTATGTTCCACCTTACCTTAGATGCTGCCCTCCACAAGAGTCGTGGTGATGTGCTGGCAACAAATTTGTAACTGTCCAGTCTTGGAGACCAAAATAAAGCCGCCTGGTGCCCCTCCTTGCTGAGATATTATTAGTCAGATTTGCTTGTAGGAAATCCAGGGAAATGTCAAGAAATCGCAGGAAATAGTGAGATCAACCGGGCAGCCAGTATCACGGAGTAAAATGTGGAGTTGTGTGCGCAACACTTTTCATGATGCGTCAGCTGTCACCCATGCAGTTGTTGACATGTGTTATGAACAATTCAATTGGTTTTGACTTATCTGGAGGCATCCTGTTACTGAGTTACCACTGTTCACATTTGTGACCAGCTCCTCAAAAATGGGTATTATAGGATATTTTTTTTTCAAGATGAGTTACATGTACATATTTGAATTGATTACATTATAAGCTTTAATTCGGTGTAGGTTTGAACCCTGTGGCATTTTGTAATCTGGAGATACATGTACAATGTAACGGTCTATTCATTTTTGGCTAATCATACCAGTATCATACACATTAACAGAAATACTGCCAGAGATAAAGCCCTTTAAACACAGGAAGTGGAAAAAGAAATCAGCCAAGAAGGAAGTCTCTTAAAACCCATTGCAACAGTTAGGTTTCTTGTATGAATTGTGAAAGTATTTATCTAATAGAAGCCAAGAAACCAAGAAGTAAAAAATCACCCTGTCCACATGAAAAAGCCCTTAGCGTGAAATAACACAGCATCCTAATTAATGCTCTTTTTTGCAGAGCGGATCACATTTGTTACGTGATCTGCGAAAACCCTTCACATGGTGAGCTTTGTCATGTGGGTCCATATGGTTTAAACTTCAAATTTATGGACACGCTCTTGTTTTCAGATTATGCTTCTAGGTTGTCTACAACATAAATCTAGGTTGTCTAGAATCACACTTAAATAGACTTGAAAACAGGACAGTGTCCAGATGATGCATTTGAAGTTGATATGCACCCAAGTAGCAGAGCTCATCATGCAAAGGGTTCATGCTGATCACATCACTTGTTAACACATGCTTTCTTACACTTGACATGCTCATGCATTTCAGCAACTTTTAAACATCTTCTGGAAGCATTTCAGTGTTGGCACATGTTCATGTACATATGTGCACACAGAACTTATTTTGTGGGGACCGAAAATGTTGTAGGGAGTTTAGAGATGTCCCCTTAACTCAGTCCTAATTTGCCCAACAAAAGAAAGTGTCCCCGTGGCGAAGGACTGTCCACCCCTACTTGGTACAGGGTTGTGGGAACAATGCTCAACTATGTTATGGGACCAAGAACATTATGGGGACAAGTTTACATGTACATGTATGTCTCTGTAAAACAGTTCCTAACAAAAGAAATGGTTTGTGTCTGTGTGTACATGTGATCCTGGTCATATAGTTTCATAAATTTTAAAAGCAATACATGTATTGCCAAGCTTCGTGCATTTTAAGTTTGCTGAAGGTTATTGGATTTTTGAAATAAACTTTTTTGCATTCAGTGTATCTAGGTACATGTATGAGTCTCCTCGTGCATGTGTACATGTGGAGTTGAATCAGGGATTGCAAAATGAACAACACATATCATGGCGAATGTTTTAACCGCAGAGCAAGGAAACAGTGGGAGATTTTAGACTGCGAGGGTTGAGCGTCTCCTACACCGTGGCACAATCTCTTACAATGGCGAAGACGACTCCGACTCGGAGAGAGCTTTCATGTTTCACTATGCATTATTCAGTAAGAATAGAATATATTCTTTGCATAGGATCTTGGTGTGTGAGAGATGTACTTGCTACCGCTACGCTCAGTGCACTTCACTTTTTTGTTGTACGTTTTACATACATCTGGAAGTCATATGAAGTGTGTACCTAGGTTAACTGTACTGTACAGGGACCCAGAGTGCATTGCACATTTACATGTGTACATGTACATAGTGTTTCATGTGTTATGACAAATTGTAAAACCCACAGGATTTAATCTGTAAAGTCAGAATGATTTTTGCACTCTCACTGGACGTTGTTATATTCACATTGATACAGTGCACACGTGCTCGTTTTCCCCCCTTTCATCTTGAAAGAACAGGAAGCATTTGTTTTCTAATTTGGGAACCCCGAGGCCGGCTCGAGGGGCAATCTCTGAGAAGACCGCAGCTAAATTTACGTCAGAATGCCTCCATTAATTTGACCAAGAGCGCCGTGAACTTGAGACCAAGGCACAGCCGGTCAGCGTTAATTAATCTTGGCCGGTGTGAGCTTCCTAACATGCACAAAACTTCATCACATAAATCCTCATGGCAGGTTTGCTTGCATTGCGCATCATATCAGGAAGTGGGAAATTTACAGTACCAATGGGCTAGGGTTAGCCTGTCATCAAACTAGCCGTGTGCTGCTCGGAGAACTTGTTGGTTCAGAAACTTCAGTGTACAGCTACATGTAGTGCACATTTAGCGTGCCTGCGTGCACATTTGAATTTGTTGTAATGGATACATTAATTTGTTGTAATGGATACATGTATATGCTCTGTGCATGAAGAAGTTAAACATATGTTTAAACATATAGTTTAATATATGTTTAACTTCGGCAAATTTGCAAAATTTGCTGTATACCCCGGCATGTTTTGTTTTGTTTTGTTGTGGGGACTGTGGGTACAACCGGCACACACTTGTTGAACAATACCCGTAAGTACTTATTATTAGGATAGATTTTCATTGCCACGATTCGTCTGCAAATTTCTGACAAAAGAAATGGTTTCCTCAGTGCAGGGGGCTGGCCTGGACACTGTTCCAATACATGTCTGTAATGTGCATCGACACGTGTGCTTTCATGTAAGCTGCAATGATACGTTTGTGATTCAAAGATTCATTACTCATTTGTCGACCGTAAATATGTGGATGATGCATTCTCTCAGGAATTTTCTGATTGAAAACTGCATGTCTTGGTCACTTTGTAGTCAGTAATTGTTCATGTGCACTGGCCCTGTGCAAGCGTGAACCACGGCAAATGTTTTTCACATACTTCCATGCAAGGGACTTCTGGTGCCACCTCTGCACGTCCACAGTGCCAGCCATGGGGGCGGGCTCAAGGAAAAGGGAAAAAAGGAAAGAATTTAGGAAAATGGAAAGAAACAAAAAAAAAAAAGAGGAAAAGGGAATAAAAATCACCAACTTGGTTGCAAATGCCTCAGTCTTGACCCCCGTCCACTGTTGACAGTTGTTCAGTTTGATCCTAATGAATGCTTTCCTTCCCCTCTCCCAACCCCCCCACCCCTTTCCTGGAAAAAAGCTTGGTGATGCTCACAGTTCAAGCTACATTGATTTATATGAAGCAAGATGTGAGATGGAGAGAACCCCCCCTTTGTGTTGTTTTTTTTCCATTGGAATCTCAGGAATTCTTTTAAGACATGGGGGGGGGTGTGTTTGGTAGCAATAGTCTAGAGTGTGTATGGGGATTGGACATGTAGGGGTACCCTTCTCAGACCCATTTGTCTCATTTCTTGCTGGATGTAATTGATTTTAGGAAGTCTTAATGGCATCAGTGTGATCCCAGTACACATACATGTATGCTTACAAAACACAATAAAATCAAATGAAACCACAAGAAGACATATACAGTCCATTAATTCAAGCCCCATTGAAAACAGTATAAAATCAGCACCGTTCAGGGCCCAATAGCATGCACGCCAACATCCCTGAGATTTCTGAAACAAATAAAATTCTTGTCTGGTCACTTATCTTTCAATTTCT